GTTGACCATCACACTTCCGGCAACATTGCAACCTTCTGTGGCCTGTTCGATCGCCTTCTTCTTCCAGCCTTCTCTGATGCACTAAAGGAATGACGAATGTGAGACGACTCATCATGATCATTATTGATAAGTGATAGCGTATCCTCAATTGTTAAATATCAGGCGAGTGTACCTGCTCAATTTCGTCAGGATTACTGAAAGACCATCCCTTACGTATATACGCTTCTCGAACTTCTTCACATGTATTACAGCATCCACTTTCAGATGCCTCTCCTCCGTAACAACTTCCACAATATGCCTCGTTCGTGGATGTGCCGTTAACCACATTCTCCACTGCCCTTGCATTATTACTTCCAATATCTTATTCAATGGGATGGTGCATGTTAAATGATCTACTTTGCATGCGGCTACTAATCGAACGAACGATTGATCGAAATTTACCCTTTGCCTTTTCGACGTATACTTTATTCCCTTCACTATCTAACCGAGTTTTGTATATGTCGTGTGTCAAATCGTTTTGGGACTCTCCGGCAATATCCATTACATCAACGCTCAAAACTGAGGGGGAGTAAACCGGTTTAATCAGAGACAAACGAATAATTGGTCGATAATCGGTCAAATTCAAATCAATTGACACTCACAGTAACAAGGAACTCTAGGAAATGTTATGTTTATGTTTATCGTCAACTTCTCCTTCCTACTCTTATCAACCACCAATTCTGGTTTAATTTCAGTCGACCTGTATTCATTAAATTCCGACCAAAGTAAGACAAGGATTATAAGGGTACTTATAATGGTCACTAAAAATAATCAAGTAAAATGTGACAATGCGACCATCGGGAATTAGTAAATGATGCATCTTTGTACTCGAGATTTTTTTTTTCCTTACATGCTGCACCATAATAAGTCTTGATACGAAAGTCGTCAAGAGTCTTGGCGTATGCGTCGAAATTTTGGAACTTGCTTAAAACCGAACCGCGCTTCGCCATCACTGGAAGAACAAAGGAATGATTGATAAGAGTGAAATAAGGTGTAAGTACAGGTGCGTGTGTACTTATATGTAAATAACGTCACTGATGCGTGTTAAATCAATGTTACGTGTGTAACCGCTACAACAAATGATGCCTATAATGATAACGTAAAAAAAACTTTCCCGTTCTCCGCTAGTTTCCACCTGCGATGGCAACTCAAATGCAAACGGACGCCCTAACGCCCCAAGATTCCACCGACTGGCCTGGCCGTTGGTCTCATATCAATAAAATATTGGATAGGAGAGGTCCCTTTTGTGACCCAAGCTTTACGCCCGGTCATGGTGAGGTGTGGCACTAAAAGATTATTCAGCACTTTTTGGCGCTCTTGATTCTCTCAACTGACCAATTACTTCACTCCTCAAGGAAACCCTGCTTAGCCAATGTAGAATTCTTGTGATCGGAGCAGGCGGTCTTGGTTGTGAAATCTTAAAAAACTTGGCGCTTTCAGGTTTCAGGGATATTGAGGTTATTGATATGGATACCATCGATGTATCAAATCTGAATAGGCAATTTTTATTCAGGTATGATATGTCAACTTTTATCAGTGCATTGCCATTTAAAAAAAAAAAAAAAAACCTCAACTAACATCCTATCGGACGCAGACCATCGGACGTGGGAAGTCCCAAAGCT